GGCGGCGGCAGGGGCCTGGCGGAGGCTGCCGGGCGGCCGCCATGCGATCAGGCAGTGCGCTGACCGGCCCGGCCGGTCGGCCCCTTCTGGGTCCTCCCTTTGCAGCCCGTGCGGGGCCGTCTCGGAGACCCCGCGCCGACGGCTGCTCAAACATCAGGGTGAGTTTCTCACAATGTAGCAATTTCTCTTTAAATCTCTTAACTCTCTCTACCTGCGAGTCGGGGCTGTGACAGGGCGCAAAAGCGAGGGGGGAGTGGGGGTTGGCGGCGAGGGTGTGTGTGGGGGGAGCCGGAGCCGGGGCCGAACCCACCCCCCCCGACACTCACACACTCAGCCCCCCAACCGGGGCGCAGCGCCCGCTGCCTCTTTTTTTGCTCGGCGCCCACCACCCCCGGCAGCCCCCCCATCCCCCGCGTCTCTCCCACCATCACCGCCGCCCCGATCCTGCGGGGACCCCCCCCCCCGCTGCTCCCCTGCCCAAACCCGGCGCCCGGTGCCTCCCCGGCCCTCCCGCCGGCTGCCGGGGATACAATGGAGCGGCGGAAAAACGAGACCTAACGTTCCACGGGGGGAGGGGCGGGGAGACCCCCTCCCCCGGCCCGGGCCCCCCCCTTCCCCTCACCCCGCTCCCCGCCTTTCAGAGAAGAAGAGGGCAATGGGGCAGTGGATGGTGATCGCCTGGCCGGAGGTGGCGAGCCTTCATCTCCCCCTCTCGCCCGTCCCCTGCGCCCCCTCCCCGAATCCCGGTCGGGGGTGCGGGGGAGAAACGGGGCATCCGGCAGCCTGGGGAGGGATGGATGCGGAAGGAGGCCATTGGGTCTCCCCCTCCCCACCGCCCCTAAACAATGAAAGGAGTTGACTTGGTCCCCCACCCCTCCAGCGATGAAGGGAGTTGACCCCCTCCCCCGCTAGCTGGCTCGTCCCGGAGGGGGTCGTTGCGGGGAGGGGGAGGGGAGGGAAGGGAGCCTTACCCCTGTCACCTCCCGAGATTCGGGGCGGCCCCCCATCTCCACCCCCTCGGCCTGGGAATGGGAGGCACCAGGCCCAGCCCGGGCACCGCGCTCGGGTGGTGACCTTTAGACAAAGGCAACCCTTTCCCTGGGGTGAGCCCGGACGAGCCGGGCCCGCGGCCTCCCCGGGCCCCTGCGGAGGGCGGCCAGGCCGCGGGCACCCGGAGGGAGGGATGGAGGAGGAGGGAGGAGGGAGGAGGGATGGAGCCATCTGGTTTTCCCATCCCTAGCTGCCCCTCGGCTGCTTCCCCGGCTCCTGTCACGGGCGGCCGCGGGGAGACAAGGGACCGGGGGGCTGCCCAGGCCTTGGGCCGCGGCCAGCGGAGAAGCGGGCGAGGAGCCGCGCCGGGGCTCCTGCTCGGGCTCCGGCTGGGGGCTCGGGACTCGGGGGCCAGCGGTGATCGGAAGGTACCGTGGCTCCTTCCTCTCCGCGCCCCTTTGTTTTGCTTTGTGGTTCTGAGCTGCTGAACTTCCTGGGAGGTGGGGTCAGAGGCCGCCGTGTCAGCTCTCCCCGGGAGGCCGGGGTGACAGGTCCCAGCCCTCTGGCGTTGCCAGACCGTGGGCTGCTGTCGTGCCCAGCCTCAGGTCCGGACCGTCAGCCCCTTTTGTCACACGGCCCTCCGATAGAATAATAACCATCTGGGGACGCGCGCGGAGTGTTTCCGTTTCTCTCACACCTCCTTTCTGCCGGCGCCTTTTGGGGGGCCGGGGGTGGGGGGGGGGGCGGGGGGGTCCCCCCTCCCTTGGGCTTTCCCCCCAGGGGGGGGGGGGGGCCGCGTAAAGGGCTCAGTCTGACCTGTGGGGTGGTGGGAGAACAGGGGAATTGGACAGTTTGGGAATCCTTCCCTTGCGCTGACGTCTGGTGGGACTCAAGGGGGGTTATGTTTACTTACCCCACCCTCCCTGATGACTCCCCCCCTCCCCCCCAGAACCCAGAAATAACATCTCTCTACCCAGGGAGCATTATGGATTGCCTTCTGCTACACCCTGGCCACCACCCCAGGAGGATTAGTGACAGTTAGCATTCCCATTTTGCAGCCGGGCTAATGGAGGCTCAGAGAGAGGTTATGTGACTTGCCCGGGGTCACAAAGGCCCCCCCCCCCCCCCCCGTGGGCAACCATTCCCGGCTCCTCCTACTTCCCCACTCAGCTCAAGACTGTTAAGTTCTCCTGTACCCCTCTTTGGCACTTTGTCATGTTGATTCCAGTCGACCTGGGTCGCGTATATAATAATACCTGGAAGGAGCTGTTGTGTCCTTTTTCCCCCGCCCCCGTGCCGGTTTTGGGAAGGGGTAAAGACATCTGGAAGCGAGGCTGGGAGCGGAATCATCTCAGCTGTGGCTGGAGCACAGCGTTTGCCTACAAGAGCTGAGTTGGAGGTGCGTGGGCCGGGAAGGGGGACCGCAGGCCGGCCTGGTCGGGGGGCCTGGGGGGCACCTGGGAGCTGGCCCCATGGTCCTCCTCCTCCTCCTCCTCCTCCTCTTCCTCCTGAGCTGGGACTTGGCCCAGCTTTCTGCGACTCAGCCCTGCTAGGAGGGCAGCCGAGCTTTCGGGGACCTTCGTGGTCACTCTCGCCGGCCACCCTTCAAGGCACCCTGACGCATCTGACAGGGAACCTTTCTCCCCTTGGCCGGTGTCAGACTCCCTGTCCCCACTCTGTGGGCTTAGGCAGGTCATTTAAGGCCCTAGTCCTCAGTTTCCTCATCTGCAGGTGGCCATAATTATAGTTCCCTTAACTGACCTTGAGGTGGGTGAAAGTCGTATCTAAACGTGTTATTGTGTTTGTCATTCATCGGACTGGATGTGGCGTGCCAATTCCCCAGCGCTGGGGAGGGATGTTGAGTGCTGGACATTGAAGGGAGTAGTAAAAGGCCTGGGGGACGTCCCCACGGTGGGTGGGCAAGGGCCAACTGTGAATCAGTGACTCCCCCCCCCCCCTCAGCCCACTGTCTGAACTGGGGCCCTTCCCCTTTGGCACTTACTGGTGCCGATTCAACATTTGGGGGCGGTGGACTGAGGGAGAGGGACTGGGAGGGCCCAGCTCGCCCAGCGAAGAGGGTAATACGGGTGATCTTCCCATTTTACAGATGAGAAAACTGAGCCCAGGGAAAGCCTGGTCTCTGGCTTTGAGGGGACCCCAAGCCCAGACCGCAGGGGGTAGGAGTGAGTGGGAGAGGGGCTCTGTGTGTGTTTTGCGCAAAAGACACTGTGTTTGGCCCCTGATCTACTGTCCTGACCTTGATGTGTAAAGATCTTCCTTCCTGAGAGCATAGGCCTAAGTCATAATAATTCCTTTCGGGGGGCAGGAGGAGACGGGCTGTGGGGAACCCATAGGTCTCTCAAGCCTGAGTGTTTCCTGAAAATAGGAACTGATTTTTTTTTTTTTTTTTTTTTTTGAGCGGAGAAGCATGAGTAAGGCCCAAAGGGACAGGCCTGTGCTCCGCCCCCCTCCCTGCTGACTTCCTTCCCAGAGGCCTCTGGGGCCTTCCCCAGCCTTCCCTCGGGTGGGGGGTCTTCTCCCCCACCCTAGAGTTATGGAAGGGGGTCAGTGCCAAGCCCTGGGGCCTGGTGGGAGGGCCCTGGGAGGGGGGGTGGGGTTCCCCAGGTTCCTGGGGGCTGCCTTTTAGCCCCGGGGCTAGCCACCAATGGGGTTCCAGCCAGCCCTCACAGCTCTCCCCTGTGGCTGTCTTGACTCCTGGTCTCAAGAATGCAGAGGGCTGCTGGGGAGGGGGGGGGGGGGGCAGTTAATTGGAAACAGGAAAACATGGCATTCCTTTCCAGCGGGCCTGGGCTTGGAAAGCAGTGAGGGTCTGCCTTTTTCCCTGTCCCGCCCCGCCGGGGAGAGGGGTGGGCGGCACAGTTATGTTGCTCTGGTCTCCTTTGGGTCTTCCCCTACCGGGCACCCTCTCAATGGAAACAAGTTACCTGACCTCCATCTGTGACCTAAACCTCTCCCCCCGCCGCCACCGCCTCCCCATCAGAATGATTTGCTCCCCACTTACTCCCACAGCCTGTCTGAGGATTGTCCCCCGGAGTTGGCTCCCTGGAGTAGGATGCTTCACTCCACAGGCGCATGGGAAATGTCTGGTTGAACTGTCCCCAAGGATTCCCTCCCCATTCCTTCTGAATCCTCCCCTGCCTGGCGGGGTACCACCGTTAAGAGTTTTGTCCCCATTGACTGGAAGCCTTTGTGTCTCTCCTCGGTGACACGCAGGATCCCCCGACGACGGAGAGTTTTCTGAGACATTTCTAGCCTGGTGGCATTTAGCTTCATGGAAGAGGCTGTGTGTTGCTGGTGGCTTGGGATCCGTCCGGCCGGAGAGAGTGCTTTTGTTGCTTTAATTATTCCCAGTGACACTTCCTGAGGGCCTACTGTGTGCCAGGGATCCGGTCCAGGAGGAGGCTGGAGGCAAGCGGGGTCCCCAGGGCTGGGCTCGCTGCGTGCGATGTGAGTAATTCCGACTGGGTGGTCTGTGAAGGCTCCAAGGAGGAAGCGACTGCCTTTCTTTCTGTCTTTTTTATTTTATTGTTTTCCTCAGTGCTACATGCACACGGGGGCAAGTTCAGAATTACCAAACGTCGTAAGTCTTTCTCTCCTCCCTCCCCAGCACCCTTAGTCCCTCGCTCCCCGATCCTGATGTTCCGTGCACGCGCGTTTCTTATCCGTGTGGGCGCGTCTTTGAAGATACTGATTTCTACCTGCCGTCCCGTTGACCTGCACGGTGCTTCATTTCCCTGGGGGACTCTTCCTGCGCGGGAGAGGGAGGGTTCCCTCCGTCTCTTTCTGGGCCCAGTGGTGTTGTGTGGTGTGGGTGAACCCTCGTTTCCTTGACACGGGTGTGGGAGCGGTTTTCAGCTCATAGGGCTGGACAGCACGTGTCCTCACCTCTTCCCGGCAACTGGGTCCGGCTGTGGGGTACACTTCGGGAAGCGGGATCGCTGGACCAGGAGTCTGCTGTTTGTCACTTAGGGGCTCCCCGGAAGTACCGTGGCGGCTGCCCTTGGAAGAAGTCGTTCCTTCCTGTCCCGTGCAGTTCATCCAACCAGCCTGCTCTGGTGTCTTTGCCTCTTGTGGCCTCCTTGCGTCTTCCTGTCTGCCCGTGGCCTGCGGACCGTGCTTGCCCCCTGGTGTGGAGGTCAAGAGCATG